CTTAGATTCTAAACGACTAAACAAGTTTAAAAATAAGAATAAAAAAGCAAATATACAAGAATAAAAATTTCAATCTTCTTTAAAGAACAGCTTTCTCTAATAAACTGGAACAATAAATTTTGATTCTGATATAAACACTATCTACAGCACTTTTTTAAAAATACTCTATGAAGTCTATGATGTCAATTTTCCATTTTGTGAAATAATTCTAAAAACAAAATAGTTCTAAAAATAAAATAATTCTAAAGGCTCCTTGGATTTAAATCCAAGGAGCCTTTAGAATTAATCTTTAAACATCATGCAAAAAATCTTTAAACATCATGCAAAAACTATACGTTAAGTACTTAAGATCTAAATCAGAAAACATAAAATTATCAAGCCTACAAAAGCTTATTAGAAAAACTTCGCGAAAATGCCAAAAAAAAGAAAATTATTATTCTGACTCGCTTAAAAAACTTGATGATTCAAAGTGCATATGGTAAATAATAAAAAAAAAGTCAAAGGGAAAATGAAAAATAACGTTACCTCGCTGTCATATACATTGAAAATTGGTAAAACTATACTTAGTGAATCAGATGTATTACAAAATTACCTAATAGCACTCCATAAATAAACGGTAAACATGTCAATAATGTACAAACATTAAGTAATTCAAAAATAAATTTCACTGAATTGACTTAAGACGAGTTTGATTATGCTTTTAAATCTTTAAAACGAAATAAGGCCACTGGATTAAATGACATTAATGGAAATATTATAACCAACTCTTACAATTTTATCATAAACATTCTTTATAAGAATTTAGAACATCTATTATACAAGGATCCTTGGAGATTCACTTGCTTACGTGGAGATTCACTTGCTTACGTGGAGATTCACTTGCTTACGTGGAGATTCACTTGCTTACGTGGAGATTCACTTGCTTACGTGGAGATTCACTTGCTTACGTGGAGATTCACTTGCTTACGTGGAGATTCTTTTTGATTTTTTTCTGGTAATAAAGTTACACTCTCAGGATTTTTATAATTTTTTTTAATTTTATTAACGTCTGCTAATTGAAAAGGCATCTTTCTTTTGCAACTGTACAAAGGTGAATCGATGGGAATTAATCTTTAAATTCTTTAAGTAGCATAATATCCAAGATTCAATTTTGAGTAGTCAAAAGTTGAATTATTTGAAAAATATAGAGAACAAACTCTGGATTTTGCTCCAAGGCTTCAAAGCTTTTTATTTTTTTTTCTATTTTTAAGTATATATTTATAAGTATATATACTTCGTCTACTTTTTTCTTTGTTGGAAAAGGATGCAACCTTAAACAAAAAATTTTTATTTATAATAACTGTTATTAGTTAACTAGCAATAATATATTTAAAAAACTGAAAATTTGATTTAAAGTGGTTTTTAATTTCTGAATATATTTTACTTGGTTTTATCTAGATAAAAATATTTTTATCTTGATAAAGCTATTTTTTTTTAGAAGAATGCTAAATCAGTTATCTAATTGCTGCATTCTTTTTAACCTGAACAGCGGTTCACAAATACATTTCAGATCGTTGCTACACACGCTATGCTCTTCACTAACACCTTTACTCCATTTTAATAATTTGTATTGGTCATTAGAACAACTACGACTCATAGTGATGTGAAAAGTTGTACTAAAAATATCTACTCATAGTATGAGTAGACATTTTTCATTATTTTTCCTCTAGAAGATAGTTTGATTACCTCCCAAAATATTGCGCATATTAATTATCTAATTCAGAGAGTCGTGTATTAACACAGCTGTACTATTTCTTTGTTAATTGCTACATCAATTATGCAAATATGAATTGGATACGCAAAATTTAAATCTCTTTATCGTCGTCAGAAACACGCAGCTCACGCAATTAATTTTAAAAACTCTAAACCACTTTAAAAAAATAAATCTCCAAGAACTAGAATTATTAAACTGCTATACTTTCAAAATAAAAATAAAATCTTAACGTAATCAAAAAAACTCAAAGGAACCGGAATTTTCATTAATGAAGACTACGCGAACGAAACGATGGAAATAAGAAAAAAGCTATGGGAAGATTGTAAAAGATTTCGAAAGGAAGGTAAATTTGCTATTATCAAATATGATAAAATATTCGTGAGAGATTTTCGTAAATAATTTGAATTTTAACAAAGTACTTAATCGAGATTTGTGAAATAGTTCTGTACATTTTTTATTGTTTATTTATTTAGATTTTATTAAACACCCACTATACAAGTAAGGTAAATTAAGAGTTTTATACAAGATAAATATAAAAAATTTTAGAATTTCTTTTTTCTTTTTTCTTTTTTTTTTTTTTAACGTGATCATGTAGAAAAAATTTTTTTCAAGAATATCCTTGAAGATAGTTCTCTGTTCTTTTGAGTTCCAGCACTCAACTGCACATTTTAGAGTTTGAAGATCCGTATCAGGAATTAAATTTTTGAGGCCGATGATTTTTTTTTTTTTTTACTTTGCATTATTGTCTCCAGATTTAGTTCATGGTTATTGCACTAGCTTTTGATAAAAAAAATCTAAAAAAGGTTGTGGTGCTGTTTTGTTTTTCAGCTGCGACTTAATAATATCATATGTCATTTTATTGTTTATCAAGCGAATAAATAAGTTTAGCTTGTTTTGTTGTATAATAATTGAAATATCTTCAATAAAAAATAAGGTATGAATATAATTTTTGTTATGTTTTGAAACGTTGACGAGTGACTTAAGTACGTTTCTTCCAACTATATCAAGCTTTTGCATTAACATTTTTTTATGTTCACACAGCTCAAGACCATACGTTAGTGTTGGAACAGCTAAAGTTTTATATAACTGGCCAATGGAGTTTGGATGAGCAAAACAGATTCCTGATTATGCTAGCACGTAATAATTTACCGCACTTCACACAATGACTATAGTCATTGTGTGAAGTGCGGTAAATTATTTCGTTAGTACTAACGAAAACAAAAACAAAACAAAAGATTTTTAAACGCTGCGTTTCAACGTCTTTGACACTGCTAATAATAATTTACTAAATGATTTTTATGACTCTGATGCGCAAATTTTTTATAGAAATAATTTTGATTCGAAATATTTTGAAACAGAAACTTTTAAAATTGAACTTGAAACATTAAAAAATAATTTTACTGCAATACACATAAATATAAGAAGTATAAATAAAAATTTTGATAAACTAAAACACTTCCTAATAGATTGCAATTACTCATTCAGTATGATTTGCATAACCGAAACGTGGTGTTCTGAAGAATCATTTAAAATGAACTCAAATTTTCAAATGCCAAATTATAAACTAATATCTTTAGAAAGAAAAACAAACAAAAGGGGAGGAGGGATTGCAACGTATATCCGAAATGATCAAGCGTTTAAAGTAAGACAAGACCTCTCCATCTCTGATACTGATAGCGAAGTCTTAACTATTGAGATAACGGGTAACAAATCAAAAAATATTATAATTTCCACTTGCTATAGACCTTCAGAAAGTGGTATAACTAAATTTTCAAATTTTTAAAATGAAGTATTTCTCAAAATAAATGACAAGGGAAAAAATATTTTCTTTTTAGGGATTTAAATATTAACCGTCTAAACTACAAAGAAAATGCGATTATTAAACTCTTTTTTGATAACCTGTTTCAATTGTGTATCCTCCCAATCATCAACAAACCTACCCGGGTAACCCCAAACTCCGTTTTTGCTATAGACAATAAATTAACAAATCCATTTCTAGAAACCTCTTTAAAAGCAGGAATTATCAAAACCGATATATCAGATCATTTTCCTATTTATTTTTCATTTTCTCAAGATTTAAGAACCTATCGCAATCCTAAAACCAAAATTTGTGAAAGAAAAATCAATCAGTTCTCTATTAAAAATTTTAAAGACTCGCTATCGGTAGTAAATTGGGATGGAGTGTATCAAGAATGTAATCTTGGACACACAAACTCTGCATACAATTTATTTATAAATATTTTAAGTAACAAATTGAAGTTATGTAAAATAAAATACTCTATAAATGAGTAAAAATTGCATAAGTATTTTTCCTATATTTGAATTTAATAAATATTTAGTAATATTATATATATATATATATATATATATAAATATTTATATATATATATATATATATATATATATATATATATATATATATATATATATATATATATAATATTACATAATATTTATATATAATTGTTTACAGAAAATCGTATTGAAGATTTTATGAAATACTTTCGTGATAACTGGCCAAATGAATCAATTACACCTAAGCTTCATATGCTTGAATATCATGCATCATCTTTCATTAGGAAATGGGGAATAGGACTTGGTACATATGGAGAACAAGGTGCAGAAAGTATTCATGCTGAATTCAACAGCATGAAGAGTACCTACTGGCACATGAAAGGAAAACATAAACTCAAAAGTATAATGGATGAACACTTCTTAAAAAACCATCCAACAGTAAAAAAATATCAACAAAAAGCTCTGCCTAAAAAGAGGAAAATTGAAGATACTTAAAATAATCTTATAAAACAATGCAAAAGAGTTTTCAGGAAATAAATGGCAGTATTATGGCGTAAATATTATTTCTGCCAGTATTTTTAAACCTTCAGATAAAAAGAAAAATTGTCAATTTTTAAAAGCATTAAATTATAACAAAAAAAAGTAACCCAGTTATAATTTTAGCTTTAAATGATTCACACACTACTATAATTTCAAAAAAAACTAAAGGTAATGGCTAAAAAATTTACAATTTTAAAATATAGGCCATAATGTAAGCACAGGTTAAACATTCCCAAAAAAACAACAAAGTTTCACTTTAGTTCCACATCACATATATATATATATATATATATATATATATATATATATATATATATATATATATATATATATATATATATATATATATATATATATATATATATATATATATATATATATATATATATACTTAATAATAATATTACATGTCATACCAAGATTTTGAATGTTTTCTTCATTGAACTGCTTGCAGGAGTTAATAAGCTTGTGGCAAACCCCAAACTTATCAAATAGGACTTTAAAGTTCTGACAAAGTTCAATAGTTTCTTTATGTATGTCAGTATCCTTGAACCCAAGTTCGACTACGAGCTATGGTATTGAGTTGCATAGTTCGAGGATACTTTTCATCTAATAATGTTTTTTAAATCAAATAAGTTATATATGTTAAATTACACTTTTTATATATATATATATATATTAGATATACATATAAACAAATACATACTGATCATACCTATATAAATATACTTTTATCTTAATTTGTAATTAATGAATATACTACTCTATATTTAAGAACTAAATGATTAGTTTACCTTTAACATTTTGTTAACATGGTTACCAACAAAACTTTTTCCATGGTATGCTTGTCTTTGCACTCCTAACAAATTAAGTACCTCGTCGAGTTTATTTACTAGTGGACCAAATGACATCTTTACATGGTCAGTTTCTTTCATTATTTCCAATTCTGAGATCTATGAATATAAATATGGCTATTGATTCTCTTATAAATACAAAATACTAATATAAATAAAAAATACCAAAACATAAAATGTTAGAAATAACATCTATTAGGATCCAAGTAAAATGTATTGTTTATGATTTATATTTTTAGTGAACAATAAAATTTTAAATGTTTACCTTTTCTTTTTTTTTCTCTTCAAAGTGAATTATGCGTGGTTCAAATACTAACTTTATATATTCTTCATTTTCAGGGTTAGATAATATGTGAGTTTCAAGTGCTTCTGTTATGATACGTGTTTTATTTTCAAGATCCTGAATACTTATCTGAAGTTGTTTTATTTGACGCTGCTTCTCAATATATTTGTTAAACTCTTCACAGTCTTCAAGTGTTTGGTTATTTACTGCCATTCGACCTGCAATTTTGACATCAATTGTATGACAAGAGTCTTCTAACATGTTGAAGAATTTTAAATACGTACCAAGTGAGATGTGTAATGCTGGAATTCCGATCTTAAATTGCAATAAAAATATTAAATTATTGTTAACAATCACTTTTGTTGTAATTAAAATAAAAGTTACGGATGTTAGTTGGAAAATAATTATTTAAAGCAAAGTACCTGATCAAGTGGCACATTAAATAACCTTTGGTCAATAACATTATCACATAGCTTGGCAAACTTGGGATCTGAACCATGATTTTTATATTTTTCTAAATGTGAATCTAGTGTCTCAAGTGATCGCATTTCAATGTTGTCCTTAATTGGAGTTGACATTCCTTGTCTTGTGATGTTGCAAAACAGGCATGGGTGTCTACCTGAGGTTATCAAACAGTTCAATACTTAAAAAACAAAATCAATCATATAGCAGGAATATGCTCCATATGAGTTTTTAAATGGATATGTATATATTAAATATTTACTTACCAGTTGCACCAGTTATTCCATAGATTGCACACAAGAATTTGTAATCACCAAATAAAAATACACGAATCTGTTTTTCTCTACATTTGAAAATAGTTATATAGGTTCAAATTAATCACAAACAACATAAATAATTTTGTTTTAAATATTTTGATTATTTAGTTGGTTGTAACATATTCTTACCTCCAAATGGTATTTTGCAACAAATCGATTTCTGATTTAAATCTTGACAGTGAAAACTTCAGATTTGTTTTACAATCACTTGCTTCAAATATGTTAAAGACAGTTGTGTTTGTTTTTGCATTAGGTTTCTCTACATTCACTACTTGGTAACACATTTTGAACGAGCCACCTCCATGGTCGCCTCCTATTTTTATATGGATTTCATTGCCTTTAATCTTTTTGTTCAATAGTAAGTTGTTGCTAAAATATATTATAGAAAATGAAATTTTAGAACTGATTTTTTTATTTATATTGAATGTGTGCCAAATAAATTTATTTTTGTATTTTTTTGTAGTATTATATCTAAACCTTCCAAGTCAGAAATTGTTAAAGAAAGATATAATACAAGTACTTTTATAAGCAAGATTTGTTTTTACCTTTCTAATCTATCTAGCACATTTATTATATGTCCATGCAGATTGTTAATATAAGCACATGGCAATTCTTTTATTTCAAAAGAACCTTTGGACTCCTTTTTTTCAACCATAAATTGAGCTTTTTCAATAATAAGATCATCACATGACCATTTCTTAGCCAGGCTTCTTTGTTGTGCGTTTGAAGCACAAATGATGTTCTTGGTTTTCAACCACCTAAAACAATAATGCATTTGTTTTTTTGAAAAGGTTGTGATTTTTATTCAATACATTTTTTTCTAGATTTTTATACAATAGTTTTAATTTTGTTTACCTAGATAATATTTTCATGTTGGCATAAGTACTGCTCATGTTAGCTTTTATTTTTTAGCTCAAATATATCTGTTAGAGTTGTTTGTGATGAGGGTGTTGACAAGGTTGTGGAAATTGATATTGGAGTCTGACAATTATTTTGATGGTTGAAGCGTTCTGATTGTTGTGACACTTTAAATAATCTACCGCAATGTTGCTTACATTCTTCTTGAATATTATTTATCATTTCAATAACATTGCTAGAGGAGGTTATTCCATCAATTGAAATTGAAAAGGAGCATTTAGGGCATTTTGTTTTAAATAATAGTTTACCATTGATTAGTGGTAATATACATGGTGCACAAAACAAATGCAGACACTTTTTTAAAATAACTGGTTTATACATAATACCATTACAAATATAACAGGCACAAAGATGTACATGTGGGTTTAATTTTTGGTTAATGTCTTGTAGTTTCAGATTTAAATTTGGTAGAGATGAAAGTTTAGCTTGTATGTTATTTATTGCTTGTCGAGTCCAAATTTCTTCATTTACAATACTTAAGGGCCTTCCTTTTACAGTTTTCTTTGGTTTCCTTCCTTTATTTACTTTGAAACAAATACATTCATCTTTCTGGCAATTGCTAATCCAAGTTCTTAATTTAAGATCAGTATTTGAACCTTTTTCTATGTTTCTCATTATTGTAAAGCATCTGTAACACATCTTCTGTGGGTGCATCTTTGGGTCATCCTCGTCGATTCGTATAAAAAAATTCAATTCTATTCTAACTACATGCTTTGTTAAAAGAACACTACGATTTCCAAGTTTTTCTCCGCATATTCGACATAATTTTTTTAGTTTTGTTATATGAGACTCAATCATTTTTATATTTATTTATAGCTAAATAATAGGATTTAATGTACACTGTTTTTAAACTTAAAAAAGTAACCCAAGTCTAATTTTTTTTTTAATATATAGATAAACTCTTCTTGTTTTAAAATATATTAGGTTTTAAAGCCAAAAAATTTAAATAAGCGCTTATTTATCCAGTTTTATCAGTATACATAGCTATATATTCAAGTCTGAGTTTCCCGCGTATTTAGAGACTCTAAAATTTAAAAATTTAAATGTTGTAAAAAAATACATATCCATCGCCATATTTAAATCAATTTAAATAATGGGATATCAATTATACATCTTTATAGCAAAGCTATGAGTTACTTTTTAAGGATATGGTTAAAAAAAAATTACTAAATAAAAACAAAACAACAATCTTTTTTTTAATAAAAGTTGCGCATGCGCATGCAAAAACTCTCTATCAAGTATTTAAAAAACAGAAACGAAACTAACTTAACTACATACAAAAAATACAAAAATCTATTTGAAAAAATTAGAAAGAACTCAAAAAAAATATATTGTTCAAAACAACTATAAAAAAGCAAAAGTGATATTAAAAAAATCTGGAACATATTGAAGGAAATAATTGGTAAAAACCATACAAAATCAAATAATTTACCCGATAAAATTATTGTTAACGAAACTAACTGATCCCAGTCTTCTGCGAGCTTCCTATAACTACAAACAATTAATTATTTTCTTAATTCTTATACAAATCTTGTTTTTATCATACTTTTATATATATGTACATATATATATATATATATATATATATATATATATATATATATATATATATATATATATATATATATATATATATATATATATATATATATATATATATATATATATATATATATATATATATATATATATATATTATTCTGATTGAAAGAATATAAAAGGTTTATTTCTTGGATAATTTTTACGTTCACGCAGAGCCGTGGCTAGGCACCCCCAAACCCCCCAATTGGGGGGGGCCCAGTATTTTTAGGGGCCCTTTTTAAAAGTTAAAATATCTTTTAACTTTAAAAGGGTTTAAGTGAAGTAAAAAGATTTGCATTTTAACCATTATATTAACTAAGTTATGCATGCTAAAAAGTACTAAAAAGCAAAAGTCATTTTTACGCAAAAACAATTTACACTCCGAGTTCTTTTGTTTTGTTAGAAGTTTTTTGAGAAACCACTATAGCGGTTTGTCTGATGTTATTTTACGGTTTGTCTGATGTTATTTAGCGGTTTGTTTGATGTTACTAGCGCGCTAATGAGAAACCATTAAACAGCGTTTCGTGGGGAAATATATTTTCAAGTATGTCGCTTATTTTATGATTACAAGCGAATTTATTATTTTTAATTAGGTTATTTATTGATTAACTATAATTTGCTGGTAATTCAACTGTTTACCAATTCACCACGGTAAAGTTTAATTTATTACTATTATTTCTATTACTTATGTTTTATGCCTAGCAAAAAATATAATTATCTTTCATTCTTAGTTTTTTACAATATTTTGGAATTATTGGAATGAAAAAAGTGAAAAGTGGTGCCACTAAAAGAAGAGAAAAAGCTGCAGCCATGGAGAAAATCATGAAATACCTCAAACTAACACATTTTTTAAAACCAGCAGTTCCGGCTAGCAGTGTTTTGATATCAACAAATAATTTTGATTGTGATTATTTGGGTACTAGACTAGAGTCAGATGGGTTAATCTATGACTCAAATGCAAAGTCAAATGTAAGTCATGGTTTAATCTGTGAATCAAATGCCACAACAAATCCACTAATATTTCTCAGTGATGATCCTTCTGATTGGCCTGATAATGTTTCTGACGCTCAGAAGTGTGATGTTGTTAAACGAGGTTTAAAAAAGATTGAAATCGACTTTCCAAAAAATTCAGAAAGAAGACGATTTTCCATGAGTTATTATAACCGCAAAATGAAAAATGGAGAAATCTTTGAAAGATCATGGCTTATATATTCTTTAAATAGTGATAAAGTGTTTTGTTTCTGTTGCAAACTTTTTGGGATAACTTCTTCACCCTTTCGAAAAGGAATAAACACGTGGGAAGGCTTATCAAAAAAACTTAAAGAACACGAAACATGCAGTGCACATTTAAAATGCTTTGAACATTGGATGACATTACGAAAAGGTAACTGATATTTCATTTAACTTGTTTTGTTACTTTTTTTATTGCTAAAATATTAATTTTTTTTCAATTTTGACAATGCAGGCATAGCAAATCAAGCTACCATAGACGAGCAACAACAAAAGTTGCTTCATAAAGAGCGGGTATTTTGGAGATCTGTGTTGGAAAGGATACTGGACATTACGTTATTTCTTTCAGCAAGAAATCTTGCATTCCGTGGATCAGACACGGCAATTGGTTCAAAGAGCAATGGAAATTTTCTTGGGGTGTTTGAATTACTGGCTAAGTACGATGCCGTCTTTAAGGAGCTTCTGTTAAGAATTCAGGACAAAAAAACAAACGCTCACTATTTGAGCAATAACACACAGAACGAGTTGATTAGATGTTTAGCGCAGGAGATTGAATCAGAAAACCTTTCTATGGTAAAAAAAGCAAAATACTATTCGGTTATTTTAGATTGCACGCCAGACGTTTCGCACAAAGAACAAATGAGCATAATTTTAAGATCAGTGACATGTACTTCTAGAGTTGGTATTAACATTTCCGAAAATTTCTTTGGATATCTCACAGTAAATGATACCACTGGAAAAGGGCTTTTGGATGCCTTTTTAAATCAGGCAAAAAAATGGGATCTAAATATTCTTGATTGTCGAGGCCAATCTTATGATAATGGTGCTAACATGAAAGGAAAACTTAAAGGTGTTCAAGCCAGGCTTCTAGAAATGAACCCAAAGGCTATATATGTTCCATGTGCAAATCATTCACTGAATCTTGTTATTGTTGATGGTGCACTGTCATCTATCAGTGCAATATCTTTTTTTGGAGTTCTTACAAGATTGTATACCCTCTTTTCATCGTCTCCTCCTCGATGGGAAATTTTAAAATCGTGTGTGGAAATTTCTGTCAAACCACAATCAGATACAAGATGGGAAAGTAAAATAAACTGTGTTAAACCACTTCGCTATTATCTGAAAGAAATTTTAGAGGCACTCGACAGATTGGAAAAACATGCCTTTGAAAAGAAAGATGGGGCAACAGCCACAGAAGTACGATCTCTGATTGAATATATTAGGACATGGCCTTTCTTATTATCAATCATTATTTGGTATGACGTTTTATTTCAAATCAAAAAATCAAGTAAGCTTCTCCAGTCTTCTACAACCTCTCTTGACATATTGGCTAGTGAAATAAAAGCAACAAATACATTTCTTCATGAGTATCGTGAGACTGGATTTACTGACGCACATATTAAAGCACAAGAAATTGCAGAAGAATTGGGCATTGAAAAGATTTTTCCAACAGTGCGCTTACGGAAAAAAAAAAAAATGTATTCATACGAGTGTGCTGATGAAACTCGGCAACCTGAGCATCAGTATAAAGCAGATTTCTTTTTGCCACTCATTGACATGTCAATTGCATCAGTAAAGGAGCGTTTTGAACAGGTCAGTATCTTCACAAATCTTTTTGACTTTCTTTACCGGTCTGAGAGTCTTATCAAAGCCTGTAATGAAAATTCTCTTACTGTATTTTGCACAAATTTGCAAACGAAGCTCGGGGATATAGATTCTGAGGATTTGGAAATGGAGTTGAAACGATTTGTCATAGTTGTACAAGAGGACAAAAATACAAACCTGAAATCTGCATATGACTTCCTTAACTACGTCTACAAAGAAGAGCTGCAGGAAACTTATCCTAATCTAGTTATTGCGTTACGCATCATTCTTACTTCTCCAGTAACTGTTGCAAGTGCAGAACGTAGCTTTAGCAAGTTAAAATTAATTAAAACATTTCATAGGTCAGTATAAATACTCTTACTTCCTTATGCCTAAACACATATAACTATATTTCTTTGTATCTTTATGTAGGTCAACAATGGTCGATGAACGTTTGTCTTCCCTAGCAATGCTGTCAATCGAGAACGAGGTAGCTAGGAAATTAAGTTATGAAGGCTTAATAAATAAGTTTGCAAGTATGAAAACACGACGCAAACCTTTTTTTTGACCTGTGAATGCCTAATACATTCACAGTAGTCAAAGAAACTTTTTGTTTTAAACTCTTAATAAATATAACAATTATAAAATATACTTAATTAAATTAAAGGGTTAATTTTATTGTTTTTTTTCTCGTGAACGACTACTTAAAAATATGTTCGGTGCATTATAAAAGATACGCCTTGCGCTTTTTGAAAAAAAAAAAGTGTCAATTTAAACGCATTTAAAAAAACTTTGGGGCCCTAATGGAATGTTTGGGGGGGGGCCCTAAAGTCACTAGCCACGGCACTGCGTTCACGTTATTCTATTGTGTACTTTGTATTTATTTTTATCAAGTCTCAAAGTTGAATGTAACAATATTTTAGATTTATCTCTTATTTATTTTGGACTTTATGTTTACGATATTTATATTTGTATATCTTTATTCGCCAATCGATGATTGGTCAATTGTAAATACTTCGTAGTTGTGAAATAAACATGTTTAAAAAAAAAAAAAAAAAAAAAAAAAACTAAATATATCGACAAAATTTCTATCGCTTAAAAATTTCAATAGTTTTATTGCAAACATAGGCCCTAATATGGCTTCAAAAACTCAATGCCCTGATGTCTCCTTCGAAACCTATATCTCAAAGCAAAATTTCTGTTTAAATATTTTCTCTGGACTAAACCATGAAGAACTAGATATTGCAAAAAACTCGCTTAAGACGAATAAGGCTCCTGGGATAGACGACATTTGTAGCTATATAGTTGTAAATGTGTTTCCGGTGATAAAACAACTAATCTATAAAATATTCAAATCTTCAATTATTACTGGATCTGTACCGAATAAATTAAAAATAGCTGAG